ATCATGCCATGGATTTCTACATTGAATGCCATCTTCTGACTCAACCTGAAGCAAAAAAGATAAAAAAGGAAAACATAGGAATGACTGTGGTATCTAATACTCGCAAATTTCCTTGTAATATTAATGTTAAAATTCACAGAGGTCTCAAAGACAATTAAAAAATTTTGAAACTAAATGTTTGCATGTATGTATATAGGTATGTATTCTTATTAGTTTAATGAGGGTCCATCCGCCTGTAAAAAAAAACAGTTTTCGCTGCGTACAGACCCCAAACATGTCACTAGTCTTGCCCTTAAAGAGTTAATTTTGAACCACAATGTGGTTATAATTTGCCTCCATTCAATTTCCAAAGAGTATTCACCGGTATGAAATTTGAGCAAATAGTAGGTCACTGTACAGCGGCCAATGAGAGTAACCTGAGACATATATAAAAAGAAAGTAGCCCTGAAAAGAGCTCTTGGTGCCAAGCAAAGGGCCGGGCTTTTACACCTGACCAGTCTGTAGGTCCAAGTTCTGGTCTTTATTTTTCGCCTGGTCTTTATTTTTCGCCATCCATGATCCAAGTTCTTCATGCCCTACAGTGCCTTCTCTTAAATGCACCTTGTAAGCTACATGTTTACTATTTATAACAGGGCTTTTATAACCTTTGGTTTGGTACTTCTAAAGATTGTGACCTTAATACTTATAATATGCTTTAACACATAATCGGTTTGCCCAGGGTTCCTGCTTTCACACGCCAATGGGGCCATCCTTAAAAAAATGTTTGTTTGCAGTAACGCGACCGACTCACAAAATTTGCCCCTACTCAAATTTTTTTTTCATGGTCTGGATAAGAAATTTTTTTTTTTGAATCAGAAAATTATGCCTTGTGCTTTGTTTTCGTTCAGATAAAGGTTAATAGAAGAAATAAAATGTAGGTCTGATTAAATTAGAATTCAGATATCAATTTATTAATTGTTACCAGATTATCAAAGCATATATTGTCCAGCATTTTGAAATTCCATGTTTATTTGGGAGTACAGTTTAATAAAAAAAAAAAATCGACCTACCTACCCACTTTGAAAATTCTTGGTGGGGTTACTGCAAACAAACATTTTTTTAAGGATGGCCTGGCCCCAAATTATTAGTTCTGCAGCATAAAACCTTAAGTGATTTTTTCTGGTTTCAACATAAGATAAAAATATCGGAAAGCCGTACAGGCCCTTATGGCTAGCCAAAAGTCCTAGCCGTATATGAGTCACGTACGGCTAGCCGAGACACACTGTATTGTCTAGATCTAGACTTCTAGAACTGTAGAGCACTTATCAGTCCGTTATTTCTAATTAATTATCAGCCCCGCACTACTTTCCTTTGAATAACTGATACAATGTTTGCTTCATTTCAATTAACTTTTATCTTATTACTATAAATAATGATATTTCAAAGAATGTTTATATCTTTGTTTAAAATAGATGTTTGTTTATGTCGCGAAAATATATTACAATTCTATATTTTCGGTTTTTCTTTTACCTTTTGGTCAGCAGATGTTGAGCCAGCTGTGTAGTCATTAGAAGTTTCATCGTCTGAATCATCCTCGATTATCATAACATCGTCATCATCAAATATATTCGTAGAATTTGACATTATTTCGGAAATAATTAGAATTATTCTTCTGCATAGGTTGAGACCGCCTAAATGTTTGGGTGTCACGCCACTATATTTGAGGCTCTAAGGTACTACAAACAGAAAGCTTAAATGCTCAATATCAATGTTTTTATCGTCGACGTACTACATATAACATGCACGATATTTAATTTTCTTTGGAAATATCATGCAGGTGAAGTGGCCATGTGTCTTTATCCTAATCTTTTTTTCTGTTAAAAATTACATTTGAGATTATTTGATGATAAATAAATCTAATTATTACTTACATGCTAAGGACGTGATGGCCATGAATTGCTTAACTGAAAAACATTGCTAGACAAAGCCACAATGAGGAAGTAAGTGTTATGTTGTATGGATGATAACAAGATTCAAACTATTCTACTATTTATTATAACCATATTAAGACAATCTTAGGTTGAGATTTATCTCAGTTTGAGAACGTTAGTGAAAGCCGGGCCAGAGCTCAAGTGTGAATTGCCCAGGTATCAGAGAGGCATGTCATATATATAAAATAGCATTAGTGAATATCAAGTAAAGGGAAGTAATCCCATTAACTGTACAACTATACATATAAAGAGTTATCTAATGTTGATATCATAACAGTAAGTAATAAAGTCACATAATTATGGTGTGCCTTTTTTTTACCCGGAATAGACCTGCATATTTTATAATTTTGTAGATGTCTGCTAGGAAATGCTTAGGCATGCCAACTATCTATGTTCTTTACATAAAACCTAAATGGCGGTGTGGGTAAAAGTTACCAAGTGGTAAATATGTTAGACTTGTAATCTAAGGATCTCTAGAACTTTAATTGTGGGTTCAAACCCCATCAGGGGCAAGTTGTTGTTTCCTTGAGCAAGAAACTTTACACTCATTGCTCAGTACTGTTTGGTTACAGAAACAGATTCGAAAGTGTGCCATAAAGCTTCCTATAGAATCAAAGTAAATTAAATTCTGTATAAACTAAAATCTTAATGTGTTTAACTACATGTATCTAAGTCTATATAAGCACAGTGGTTGGGGCCAATTTTAAACCAAGGGCTTTAATTTTTATAATTTTTGCAGAGGTCCACAAGGCAATCCTACATGCCAAAAACCTCAGCTCTGGGAATTGTATTTTCACACAAGAAGTCTAATAAGTGATAAATAGTTGTTCTCTGTTTGTAGTTTTGAGGTTCCATTATTCTGATCAACATGTATTCAAGTTCTATGAACTCGATATTCCATAGCTGACACTAGTCTCTTTAGTAAATTAGAAAACAATACCAACAGGTATGTCATTTAAAAAAGTTTTCAAATTCTATAGACTATTTCTTCTATAGAGATGAAAAAATAAACACAAAGATAAGTGAACATTTAACTTTTTAATATTTGTTATCCTAAAATATCACAAACTTGAAATTAAAACATTGTAGAATATCAGCAATAAAAAGCTTAATGAAAATAAATAAATAAACTGCAGAGACTGAAAAGACTTTTGGTTAAAACTCATTTTTAAATCTTAAACAATTTAAGGAAAGAACTAACAAAGAAGTTTTATATTTCATATGGTAACTTATAAACGTAACAAGGCAAAGAATAACAACAGTATCCACTGAAGACAACTCCCTCACCGTCTTAATATCTTAGTTTACATTGGTGCAAAGCAAGTATATTCTGATATTTACTTCTGGAACAGGGCCTTAAATTTGATCAAGTCAAAGGCTATTAATCTGTTGTTTCTAAATAAAACTAAAATCTCATGTGCAAAACATCTGATTTCGATTAACAATCATGCAAGAATCAAAAAGGTCCTAACATTTACTTTATCCTAACCTTGCAGGCAGCAACAGATTCTACCAATGGATCTGACTAAAGCAGACATGATGATCAGCCAGCACATCTGTTCTATCTGATCATGGTTTGCACTGGTCACTATTGAGTGAAAGGCATGGTACAAAGGAGTTCATATAACAAGATAATAGGATGAGTAAGAGCAAATTTATGAAGCAACACCACGTCACTTACCTCTATACAAGAAATACTCAGATACAAGAAATGGGATGAGGAAAATTTGAGCATTAACCATATGTTAATTTCAACACAGTCATTATAATATTTTTCTTATAAATACTATAGAATAGTATTTCAGTTCTCATATTTTCCTTACTTGTATGTAAAAATATTTAATTGTTGAATGTACATATATTATGTAAAAATGTATGTTATAAATATATGTATACTTATGAGAATAAAATATGTTTAACAAAAATACATAAAAATAACATCACTGATCCTTTGCTTGCAAGTGGCAACATATTTTACACATTCCAGGATGAGCTGGCATATTCATGCCATCTAATCATGGTCTGTACTTTTCAGTCAGTAAATATTTTGAAATTTTACCTAAAAATGAAGAATAGACTGGTCCATATTGTTAGATGGGCAAGTCCATTTAAAATTATTAGCATGATATGGGTTAACTTATTGACTGCGACAAATCATCTTATAATAACAATCATCACAATCCCAGTTAAATTGCACTATACATGTATATAAAATAATACAAAAACAAAAAACAAACTAGAAATGTGTCCATAGGATAAGGGTGCCCCTACACTCCACTGATTTGTCAATCTTATGTATCTAGGTCAATTTTTTTTTTTTTTTTTTTGGCTACATGAGCCCAAATTGAAAACTGAAAATATTTTATTAAGTAAAGGGCAAATACTACAAATACTGAATAAATCCACAAGAAAACCCAAGGGTGCATAAGTACACATGCTGATCAACATTCTTGTAAACTTTCAGGCCCACAGGTCAAATACTTTTTGAGTTGAACACAAGTTGAATAATGTAAATTTTTACTAAGTCAAGGGCAATAACTCTAAAAATACTAAATATATCAACACGAAAATACCCAGGTGCACAACTACACATGCTGAGCAACATTTTTGTAAGGTTTCATGATTCTAGGTCAAATTCTTTTTTTGTTACATGCGACACAAGTTGAAAAGTGGAAATTTTTACTAAGTCAAGGGCAATAACTCTAAAAATACTAAATATATCCACATGAAAATACCCAGGTGCACAACTTCACATGCTGATCAACATTCCTGTAAGGTTTCATAACTCTAGGTCAATTATTTTTTGAGCTATGTGTGACACAAAAAGAGAACGGACGGACAGCTGGAAGGACTGAAGTTCGAACAGGAGAGTAATAATGTGGCTACTCTATTGTTCTCTCTTTTGTTCTTTTTACTCACACAAAAGAAAATAGCCACATAAAAGCATTACGGAATGAATGTCATCAAAGAGAAAGAACAGTTACCTATTATCCTTCTAGCCACACAATTACTGTCCGGTGAGTGCGGATGGACGGACGAGGGTAAATCTAAATGTCTCCCCCCCCCCATAGTGGGGGCACAAAAAAAAACATTAACAATAAATATCAAACTTAATGACAAAAAAATAAGTAAATAAAACAATTACTGAAGAATCTCATTTTGAAATGAACAGTCCAAAAAATTCTAACATTAATTATACATTCAGATCATGACTAAGTATATTAACATATAATTTAATATACTTTATCTCACGATCTGTTGTAAGCTCCACACCTAGTTGTGAACACACCCACTCACAATGCAAATGTCATATAAACTCCGCCCCTGATGTTGAACACACCCACTAACGGTTCACATATCGTGTATTAACACCCCTCTTCCCATGTCAAACTCACTTCTCACAATACATGTATCATGTAAACTCCACCCCAAACCCTTTGCCAATCTCACCCACCCGCAATACATGTATCATGTAAAGACCACCCCAAACCCTTTGCCAATCTCACCTACCCGCAAAACATGTATCATGTAAAGTCCACCCCAAACCCTTTGCCAATCTCACCCACCCACAATACATGTATCATGTAAAGTCCACCCCAAACCCTTTGCCAATCTCACATACCCGCAATACATGTATCATGTAAAGTCCACCCCAAACCCTTTGCCAATCTCATCCACCCGCAATACATGTATCATGTAAAGTCCACCCCAAACCCTTTGCCAATCTCACCCACCCGCAATACATGTATCATGTAAAGTCCACCCAAACCCTTTGCCAATCTCACCTACCCGGAATACATGTATCATGTAAAGTCCACCCCTAACCCTTTGCCAAACTCACCCACCCACAATACATGGCAAACCCAACACCTTTGCCAAACTAACCCTATCCAAAACATAGAAGCTTAAAGCGGCACACCTATAGATTCATGCTAATATCATGAAGATTTTTATAATGTATTAACATGTAAAACATTGTCAAATGAACAAAAAAAAGTAATTAATACAATCCAAATAGCAATTAAAATCTACTAAAATTACCAATCACATGTCAGAATATGCAAAATAGTCCTTACTGTGTTAGTAACATAGTAGAAATATTGATAATTACTACAAAATCATGGCATAAATCATGTTAATTATTTCTTTAAATTCTGAATATTTATTTTTAACAATGAAAAGTTAACAATGGTATTGCTTCAAAAGTAAGCAATGTAACTTCAGAAAATGCACATCACAGCACCCTCGTAAGTTTAGAAACAAATAAAAGTCTAACTTTTAAATAAAATTTGTTATTACAACCTTAAGAAAAAAAAGTTGTGGAAATGAATCTACATAAGTCAACCTTGACTCGTTTCCCAGTCCACTAATATTTTTCACTGTGTTTAGATTATATACTTATTGTTTATGCATGTGTATTCATGTTGAATAAGATATTGTGTAAACTGAAAAAGTAAATTTGAGCAAAATCCAGACACTTTGGGAAATTTGTACCATTGACAATGCATGCAAATAATCTAATATTCCAGCTGTTTTTGATCATTTTATACATTGGTTTCATATTGTTAAATCCATTCAAGTGAATGTATGTCAATTCAAAATTCCATCAGCGTTGTCAGTAAGCACCAATATAATGAAATAAAGATTTAGTTCATAACTGACTATGAAAACATGCTTCCATGTAAATCTTTACACAGAAGAAAATCCTGCAACTGTCTTGGTATGTCAAGTAAATGTAGTTTAGTGAGATTTGCAGGGCTCAGACAGTCCCTCAAGGTTCCCCGACACAGTCTCATCAATGACCTCGGCTGATACAATTCTTCCATAAGCCAATGTTTAAAATCAGGAACTTGTTCACATAGATACACAATATTTGGACTCTCCATAATCTGGCTGACATTGCGTGGACAGTCGGCCTTCAGTAAACATTTAACTGTTGATAATGCCATAGTTTTTATTGCATGATCCAAAACCATTTTCCCTGAAAGTGAAATAAAATGCTGCCAATTTAGTAAAGAGATTATTTTATCACACCATCATATCATGAAACAAGAAACTGCCTTGAATGTTGGTGTACAAAATGCTTGAGTTTATACAAAATTAATGCTATTAAGATAACAGATTAAGATTGCAATGAATGTAAGACCGCTTTGCTGCCATAACTGTTTGAAATCTGCCCTAGACGTTTTTGTGACAAACAAATAATCCCATATCATTTTATTATAAAACTGTACTGAAACTGTTTAGTATGTGCATGACAGCATATATACATTGAGTGACAAATAACCATAAGACTAAATGTCCAAGATCACTGGCACAGAGAAATTTGGCCTATCTGGATCAAGACAATGATCCCTTCATTACAAACTGGATGCTATCCCTATTGACCAACTGATCTTGAACAGTTGTCTCTCGCAACTGATTCAGAAATCATGTGGAATAAGTAGTCAGTTATTTGCTGAGAAATTGGTAATTATAAGTAATTTATCCAGAAAGGCCAATAATGTGCTAAAATAAGCATATAAACAATACAAACATATAACAGCTGTTGGTAGGACAGCATGCTCGACTATTCTTAGTGCTTGATAGTTAAAGAGCCTTAATCATGTAAAAGTTCACAAAAGGGCCAATTTTTTTTTTAAATCCATGTTACAGTTATAGGCCTTGGGGAGAGTCCTATTATTCTTCCAAAGAAGTATATAAAATTTAAACTTGTTTAAAAGCTAGGTGTCAGTGGATAAATATATGAGTTGGTATGCAAACTTAAACATAATTTTAAGACGAAAAAGGGGCATTATTCTGTCAAAATGCTTGAAAGAGTTACCTCCTCCTGTCTACAGGATGGGCCTATGATGGTGAACAAGTGTTCAAAGTTTCAAAGCCATATGTCAATGGAAAATATTTGAGTTTGTACACAGACTTTAACATAAGTAAATACGCCAACATTCGGGTGACTGAGATAACTTTATTTATTCTAACCGAATAGTCAAGCTAAAAAGCAACACTCATACAACATTCTTTTGTCCACTCCCCCTCTCTCTTTTCTCCTTTCCACGCTTTCAGTTCTCTTACACAAAGCAAAATCTTTTCTTTAACATTTTTGAGAAATAACCTTTAACAAATTTTATCAAAATTTCTAGAACCCCTCTATGGACTATATTGCTCTTAAGACTTAGTGAAAAAAGCCTGTCTTATAATTGGGTAAATACATTACCAGATTTATCAGGTGTATTGATGGAAGCTCCATGTTGAATCAGGAAAAACAATATGTTCACCAAGTGCTTGAATGTTGATTTATGCTCCACTGCAAAATGTATAGCTGACCTGCCATTATTATCAGTCTGTAAGTACAAACATAACATCAATTCTGTGTGTTTTTCCCAATCAAATTGTTATCAAATTGGATTAAAATCTATGGTCAGTCCACAAAAAGTGTGCTTGTACATGTATATAAAGCAAACAATACAGATAAAGGACAATAATGTATTTTATAGTTGGAAGAATAACCATATCAAAATAATAAAATGCATGGATTAATTTTATAAAATATGATATATAATTTGACATGACTGCTTGATTGTGCAGGCTTCCCTAGCTTTATCATGATGGCATGAAATTTAAAGGCTGTCATTAAGAGGCTGCTGTAGGCCAAAATGACTGTCTCAAGTGCATTTTGGGCTGCATATAAACGTGGAAAACATTTAGAAAATTAATATAGTTTAATTTTTATAATATTCTTAAGTAAAGCAATATTTCTACAAAAGTACTTACCAAATTAATATCAGCACCATACTGAAGGAGGAGTTTTATCAGATCAACACTAAAATGTCTCTTCAACGATGCAGCAAACATTAAAGGTGTACCTCCTTTATGATTTTTTATGTTTGGATCACCTTTTTCTGAAAAATAAAAAAGACAGTATATAGACTGTATAGAATAACTTTTATTTCCAATCAAGGGTCATGTTAAATGACATGTGAATCACAATAATAATAATGAGATCAAATAAAGACGTTAAAGAAACTAAAACTTGACTGTATGAATTTGAACATGATGTGGAATTATCCTCAAAACAATTTTGAAAACAAATCTATAAAGTATTCTACATATGATTAAACAGAGCAGTTATAATTTACTCCCATGTTAATTAAAAACAATATTCAGTCTGACTGAAGGTCTTATCAACATACAATGGTGTCAATGATTAAATTGAGCTGATATAATATACTCCCAAGTTAATTTTAAACATGATACAGTCTGGCTCAAGGTCTTATCAATGCACAATGATGACAATGAGTAAACTGAGCTGATATAATTTACACCCATGTTAAATTTCAAACTCCTCACAGTGATTACCTGCCTTTGCAAACTTCACAAACGTCACATGATGAAAGTCACATGACGTAACGTCGAAATTCAAATGTAAGTATCGACTGTAACATAGAAAATCTAACGTCATTTTTCACTGTCTGCTTTATTTCTAACTTTTCGTACCTACGTCTGTTATATTTTATCAAAAAATTATCAAAAGTATACAAAATAATGAAAAATAAATTAAAAAACTAAAAAATATCAAAATATTGATATTTAAATGTTTGTGATGGCAGAGAGCTCTGTACTGATAAAGGGGAGACCACTATGTAGGAGATTGGTTAAATTTATGCATTATTCAGTTCGGGTGGAGGTCATATCAATACACTATGCTGTCTATGAGAAATTTGAGTGATTATATATAACATCAGTTGGTAAATTCAACCACTAAATTGCTACTTTAACACCTCTTAGAAACATCAAAAAGGATGTTTCTCGGCAAAGGTTGTCCTATACAGTACTTACTTTCCAAGACAAGTTGGATCATGGACAAGTTTATATCTCTGTTAAAACTCAGTTGATGTAAGACTGATGTTCCTTTCGTGTCAACCAGATCAAGCTGGGCACCAGCCTCTATCAGAATCTTAGCAATATCAAAACTACCATTAATCACAGATTCAAGCAAAGGGGAACGACCACTTGATGACTGTACATCAATATTAGCTCCTGAAAATGACAATTACTTCCCTTGATTACAAAATTGCACATATAAAATATATTTAATAATAGTATATTTAGGATTATAATTTTATTCTTTCATGATGTATCAGTAAACATGCACATTGATGTAAATGCATCTTCAGTATATAATATGACAAGGAAAAGTTAAAGTAAACTATCAGATTCTAATATTGTTTTCTTATCATTATTTCATTTTCAGTTTTGTTTTTACAATATAAAACATTCATAAACACACAATATATAGAGAGATATATGTTTAAAAGGTACAAAAAAGTTTCTTATAAGTAAAATCAATAATATCTAACCAATATTGTAAAAAGTTTAGCTTATTCATTCAAGACCTATTTTTAAGACATTCCATTATAAAAAGATTCCTTTTCAGAAGTTTTTATATTGTTATAGAACTTCTTGTAACATAAAGGAGAATTTCCAACATAACAGTTTTACTTAACCTTATTTAACCCTTTAGACAAAATTGTCCTCTACTAAAGATGTTGTCTGCTTTATATATAATATACGGTAATCTTTACAATCTTTCCCAGAATATTTCAAAATAATTCAATATCACTTATGTGATATCTCAAGGGAAACAACTCCTACTATTTATGTAGATGTTAAATAAAGAGTTGTACCCCTTGTCATAAATATTTTATGCATTATTATCATAAGAAAGAAAACATAAAAATTACTATAAGTCATTATAGGTGATTAAGAGAAAAAGAAATAGAAAGGCAGCAGGTCCAGTACTGAGTGGATCAAGCCTCAATAAAACGTCCAAAAACATTGATGTTATATCATAATTATTTACATCCAAACAGGCAGAATCATTATGATAGTCCTTGGCCCAGTGGTTAAGCTCCTTGACTTCAAACTACTTGCCTATCAATGTAGGTTCAATCCTTGACAACAGGTTCTTTGAATTCTTTCATGGGTGAAAGCTATCCTGCTAGCTTACAGAATGTCAATGATTTTACTCAGATGCCTGTTTGTGCCTTAAATAATGCACAAAGGTACACCTGAGGTCTTCCTCCACCAGGATAGCTGGAAATTTGCCATATGACCTAAACTATGTCGGGAGGACTTAACACCCAACCAACCAATCATGCTGATTGTATGCTTCAAGTTACCTAAATCCTTATGCAAAAATACATTATGATAATACCTTAATGTAGTTAGACTACAACTACTTCAACTATATACATATGTTCTAAAGAACCTTCGCTCAAATATAATCCCTCAAAATTGCTTTTATTTTTATGACCTTATGTTGTAAACATCTAGTATTTGCTCTCGTGAAATATGACAAACAAACCTTTTGCGATGAGTAATTTGATCACAGAAGTTCTACAGGCAACGATGGCAAAATGAAGAGATGTCCTATGCTGCTCATCTAGAATGTCTATGTCTGAACCATTGTCTAATAATGTCTCTATAACCTATAGAAACATGAGAAATAGAGGATACTGAATGAGTGTAAGTTCAATAACTGAATTAATTGAACAAGTTGAATAAAATTACATTATGCAAGTCTCTGGCAAGCATGACACTATTTTATTCAACAAGTTCAATAAATTCAGTAATGAACCTACACGAATATAATGCATGTATTCTTTTTGTCACATACCCAAAGCGAAAAACAATCATTTTTGCACAGACATGGCTTTAGTATAATGCTAACATTTAGCTTGTCTTTACTCTATGCTAAAACAGCTTGTTTAGTGCAAATGATGTCACGTAAAAATATATGCACAAAAGTGCAAATCCATTTTTACGGAGTCACAATGCGGCATAGCTATGTGATAAATATGTTTTTGTATAATACAATTTAATCTGAATCAATGTACCGGTATGTCTGTTTAGTTGGTTTTTACGTTAAGTCATATCTTGGTGGTCCATCCACCTAACTAGCTTACCAGGATAACAAACCAGTATATACTAATTTCTCTATAAGAGACCCACTACTTATCCCATATGATGTCTTAATCCTACGATTTTAGGTTGAACGTATGATCGCGTTATAAAGACAGTCTTACAATTCAGCATGCAACAGTTGTAGATCAAAACCGTACAATAAGAATTCCAAAATCGTACGATCCTTTAGAATCAGTTGTGAGAGACAAACAACCATTACACACGAATGTCACATAGAAATTTTGTCTTACACAACAATCAAACTGGCACTCCTTGGATTACAAGGACAATTACGTTTTGGCACTTACATCTAGTAAACTTAAAGCAATTTACAAGTAATAATCTGTATAGAAGTAAAAATACTTCTTTGTTTACATTTTGCCACCTTTATTGTTAGAAATTAATTCACATTTAGATACTGTTCACTTCAGACAATATTCATCCTAAATCATTAATGTTTTTAATTTATTCATAATTATAACATTATAAAACACATGTCAGTTCTACAGAAAGAAAAAAATTGTTTGAGATTTAATATGCCTTTAAAACATGTGAATTTGTAATACCTGACATGATGAATGAAGAGCTGCTAAATGGAGCACTGAATAACACTTGGTCTGCATCCTATGAGCCATTGTATTGTTCTTTATTTTGTATATACCACCTGAAATAATAAATAAATTTGTACAATTTTAACTGATCTAAAAAGCAAAATTTCTTTAATGGACTTACCTAACTTTCAAATCTAGACAAAACTAGATATCATGTTTATATAGGGAAAATTTCAAACTATGTAATGATGGAATTGCGAACAGTGCTGACCATGATCAGATGGCACTGGATAAAGTGGAAGATAATAATTACTCACCGCCTTGTAACATTAACCATATTAAAGTTACAAGGGTGCTACTTTCAAGTTTACATTTATTTAATTCCTAGCTGCACTAAAAAGTGTGCAAGTCTCTGTAAACTTGTAGGAAATAAATGTAATATAGTAACTATACCTTCAAATTTTCTATTCAAGTCAACTCCTTCATGAATCTGCCTCTTCACCATGTCATCATCCCCATAACGTATGGCTGAATAGATGCTTGGTTCCCCTTCTGGAATCAATATTTCTAGGAAAGGGTCATTCATTTTAATCATAGAGTCAAACTGGTCATCGAGATCTTCTTCTGTCTCATGTGCCTCCATTGTGTGACTTCTCTGAAGTGTAAAATGCCATGTTTTCAACTTTTGCAGTAGAACATTATATCAGAATGTGAGAATAAATTTTAAATAAGAGGCTCTAAAGCTGTTTATAAGACAGCACACTCAAATACTTGCAGTGCTCTGCGGTAATGAAAAGTGGCATAACTCTGAAAAAAAATATAACTCAAGAGTTACTGGACCTGTGCTCATCATGTCAAATAAGTACAAATAACAAGCGTTTTAAAGTTATAACAAATTCCCTTCAGTAGTTTTGGAGATACCAACTTGCATGACGTCGACATCTGGGTGAGAAAAATAGCTAGCTCTCCCTAATATTCGGACAGTCAAGATAAAAATCAAAATCTTTAAGTAGATGTATGATTATATAATTTTAATAATTTATATCATAACTTAATATAAAATATTCACAATCTATGACATTGTGAGGCTTTGTATATTTTAAGCGAATACTTGTTTTTGTTTGTTAACCGAGTTATATCAAAGGTTTATGAAATTAATTTTATTTGAAAGACACTGATCATTTACGTATGCATAAACTCTACTTATATTGAAAATTATAATAGATATGTTTTTCAGTAAATCAAACATATTTTAATAAAACCATGGAGCTAAATATAAGATTATGATATATCTATGATAAAACCCAAAATTGCAAATTTAAACTCTGTTGAATATTGAAAAATATTTTACCTACAAACAACTAGTACTGTAACCTTCTCCGGAAAATGATCCCCAATACTGCAGTGGCCAAACTATTGTTTGTACGAAAAATTACAAAATTTTGTTTGTACATAGGCCTACACGGTCTATTGATTATTCAGCCGGTTAATACCTTATAAGGTACTCACTTCTGAACATCTAAATTTAGAAATGATAAAATTCCGAAAACATTTATCATTACCAAAGGTGGGGTGGGTAATTATATCTCACATAATTTGACGCATTCAACAGTGTTCAATGTAGCAATGCATACATTCAAATTTGCAAAAACTTTAAAAAACGAAGAATTCGAAGCTTTTTTGTTTGTTTACAAAATACTTTGTTTGATTCTGATTTCAAAGCCTAATCAAGAATTGAGAAAATTAACCGAGTTAGGTAAAACACAACTAAATTTATATGTATGCCCATGTCTCTTGTATGCCCACAGGACCCCGACATTCTGTCCAAAACAGAAAAATGACGATTTAAAAAAAATCCCCTATATATGCTATAAAAATATAGTATATATAGGGGATTTTTTTTCAATCGTTATTTTTCTGGTTTGGATAGAATTTCGGGGTCCTGTGGTATGCAATAAAATCTCTGATAAATTTTATTTTGGATTCAATCTTAGGCAGAATTCGGCCGTTTCAAGAGATAGCATATTAAATTAGTTCAAAGGTATCACCACAGGTGGCAGTATCAGTGTTTGATATATCGATAAGTATAGTCTATAACTATAACTTTGATTGTGAAATAATTTATTTTATGATTATCATCGGTGGTTTTGTAATTGGAACCTTAAAGTAAGCCTAACAGTGTTGAATTTTTTTTCCAGGGTTGTAGTAGGGGTCCAAGGGCAGATAGGGCTGGGGTGTCCAAACACTGACATTGCCACCTGTGGGCGGTATCACATGAAAGCGACAAGCCAGTCACGTGATTGTGGTAAATAAACACACGGCTGCTGTTGCAAATTCTACATTTTACTATTAAATTTTGACCGCATTAATTACTGATAAGCCCAAATATCAGATACCATATAGCATTACAAAGTTATCTCCAAGTTATATAATTATCTTTAATTCATTTTCACAAGTTTAGCTGTATTAGACAATGCAATTTAACATCTGTTTTGGTTTTTAGATATCAAGTGTTAAAAACAACATAAATAAACAAAATAAATAAATAAATAATAAATAAATAAAAGTAAATAAATAAATAAATGAATAAATAAATAAATAAAGTCGTTTCTCTATTTCTAAAATTGTAGTTTAGAACTATAAAAGGAAAAGAAAGGACTCATGTTAAAGGCTTTATTTTTTTACTCTGAATTAAGGTTACATTTTCTATACAAATTAATGTACACGAAGCATTTATTTATAATTCTAACACGACCCGCATTTTTCCCTATTGAACATAGAAGAACCGAAAGTGTGTGTAATTACACAGACACTTGGGGTTTGGAGCTCAAAACGCCTTTAAAATCCAAATAATTTTTTGACATGTACTGATCATATATATCAAAAAATCTTAATATACATTATTATAGATGTTGAAATATGATTTTGTTTCAAAACGGCTTATATTAAGTTTTTTTTATATATATGATCAGTACATGTCCTGGGATTGACAAATATGCATTTTATTTGGATTTTAAAGGCGTTTTGAGCTCCGAACCCCAAGTGTCTGTGTGTAATTATGCTATAAAATCACTGTTTGACGTTCTATATTTAGACATGTGACGTAATCATTATACACGTGACGTAACCACTAAAAATGTGACGCGCTGACAATAAGTACGGAAACAAATCAGGCGCGATTAAGCTAATTATAATGTACGGCAATGTCGTGTTAGAATCGAAATAATATATCCAAAGCGGTGATTTTATTGCTTGATAACATCACTGTTTGTCGTTCGGATGCGCATCATTATATCACTCGGGCTACGCCCTCGTGATATAATTCCCCGCATCCGAACTCCAAACAGTGATGTTATTGAGCAATAAAATCACAGTTTGGGATATATTATTTCTTAAATATACAATATGTACGTACAGGGACAAATCATATGAAAAACGCAGCTATGGACGGTATGGGTGTAGGAAAATATACTGAATGCCTCTCAATTTGGAAAAAGTAAGAGTCAATTATCACCCATGTTTTAATGGCAAATAATTTTTCACAAAAGATATATCAAAATATATTGCAATATTAAATTTACAAGAACGTAGACATTGCATCTTAATTAAATGAAAAAGATGACAAGATAAGCATTTTTTTGGGGGGTGGATATTGAAGGGTACAACTTGACATTAAATATATTAAAAAGAATTTAAAGTCATGCTGAAATATTCAGATAAGTACAGAACTACAATTAATGCATGTGTGACGCATTAGAAAATAATGATTTATGTTTGTACAAAAAAAGACAGCTATAGGGCACAAAATCTGAAACTTTCGCATACATGTTACAGGTTAGATGTTGATATCTAAACTACTTGTAACAAGTTTCTGACAAGGCAAGAGAACATTGTATGTATGTTTTTAAAAGTCTTTTTTTAAGTTTCGTACATTTCTTTATCAACATAACATTTAGACATTACTTTCTTAACTCATTTATTAATTATTTTTCTGATTAGATGAATTAAAATTTACTCGTTTAAGCTTAGCACTCGCATCGTTATTATATTTTCATATTTTTATCTGAATTTCTCTCATAATTTACTATAACAGATAAAACATACAGGTCACAAATTGATACATAACTAGTTAACCTCTTAGCTAACTAGTTAATTAAAAGGTTAACTAAGGTTACTTTACTAGTTAACCACTTAATTAACTAGTTAGTTATACATGTAGTTAGTTAAGTGAGTAACTAGTTACGTAACTAGATAATCACTTAACTAACTAGTTAATTAAGAATTAAGAGGTTAACTAGTTACGATTTTAATTAACTAGTTAGTTAAGTGGTTACTTAACTAGTTAAGCACTTGATATTAAGCTGGAAAAATAATTAAAGGATGGCAGTTGTAGGCACTAACATGTATTTATTTCCCGTTATGATCTTTTATTTATTGAAAAAAAAATTAACTAGTTACGTAACTAGTTAACCACATAACTAGGTAACCTTTTAATTAACTAGTTAGTTATATGGTTATCTGGTGGCAGAAATATGCCACAATTCTTTTGATAACAAACCAGGATCGTTTAGAATAAATAAGTGACAATGCGTTAGAAGGGCTGTTTCGGTTATTAATTATAACCATGCTATAGAGTTTAACACAAACACATGCAGTTTGCATGTTCTCCACAAGGTCTTATATCACAGCTCACCGCTAATATTTTTCTCACAGTGAATTTATGTACATGTATAATAAATGGTTTCACAAAAGAATTTCTTTTGGGCATTGATTAAAAAAACTCCAATAAAATGAATATAACTTTTACCATTTAAGTTCACGCCTTCATTTGTAGACCCAAAATACTTCATACACATAAAGTAACTTATCAATCGATAATCAGTTTAAAACAAAGGTTAGATTTTCAACAGTTAAGTTCAACGGTCTTAAACAATAAGAATGAAATTGTATAGGCAAGTAAAATTGGAAATGTATGGCATACTATTTTAAGTGCTTGAGTGCGAGTAAGTTGTAAATAAACTTTTCTTTTTAAATTTACCCAAAACATATGGATATAATACTAAATTCATCGAGTAAAAATATGACCGTCACGGTTTTTGTTTTAAGCTGAATAACTAAGTTTGACTTTAAGTGTATAGAGTGTACCAGATGGGGAGTCAGCCGTCGGTAGTTATTGTTGATCCGGTAAGTTGGACAAAGTAGTTTTATTTTCCAAATATCTTTGTAATATAAGAATGAAATAGGTTTTTTTGTTCATAATTCTTCGATGTAAATATATATTCCTTAAATCACCGATCAATTGTTTATCTTTTACACAAGGTACGGGTGTCTCGAACAAGACCTAAATATCCACCTCCATCTGTGCCAAAATGGTTTTTACCTGATATACGCCCTTTGGTATTTGCACCGGAAATAGATGATATTGATAGCCGCAATATCGATTGGCACGCTATAGAACGTTCCATAGAACAGGAACCAGAGGATGGCGTAGATGCAAGTAAAGACGTTGAACTTCGGATAAGACCGTCGTCTGGCATTGGGAATAGCAGGACTGATTCTGGAGCTAAAACAAACCGACAAACAAAGAGACATGGACACAGAAAGATACTATCCTTTGATAACATTGATAAACATGCATTTGCCGTAAGGGTTTTCTTTTAATGTGACAGAATATATTTCAAAAACAGAAACAGAAAACACATTTGCTCTTTCAAAAAATATAGGTTCAACTACTACTTTATCTGAAGTGTGGCTGATCTAACATTGCATTGAGTATTGTCTTTTTGAAATTATTTTAGTAAAGTTTCTGCAAAGAATTTTGTATTAATTATCTCAGTTATTCCTATAAGGTCTTGTTGTGCTGTACAACTCTTGTCACTCTTACTCTACGTAACCTATTACAAGTGCATGGAAATGAAAACTGAAGCATAGGAACGTTATTCTGATTTTAATAAGCTATAATTTTGTTACTCCAGACGCTACCCATTCATTCGGCATCATTTGATGAATTAATACAGTACCTAAAGAAGCCAATTTACGACGAATTGCATCCTGAAACATGTTTAGTACGAGCATTAACAGTTTGGCTTTCGAAACAAGACAGTACAAAATCTAAGTATCAACATGCTGACGTGAGAACACCGACAGGGATTATCCAGCATTTAAGGCAACAGACATTATCTTATACAGAGGCTTTTACACTTTTATGCAGGTACATCTTCATTGTGTACACCGGTCTTGTCGATATTTGAGAGACCGGTGTGTATACAATGGGTACATCTTTGATAAAATGTGCATTTGCACATGTATTACTATAGATGACTTTAAATTTCGTATGTTTAGTATAATACTGGGATTTTTCTGGTCTGAAAAATATATTTGAATTGATTTTTTATCTTACATGTTTGTTTTTTATATCGAAAACAATCCCTGACTTCTATAGACGTAATGGTCCATTGTATTGGAATACATGGGTTAAGCTACCTGCCAAATTTGCAAATTTTATGATACTAAATGCATCTTTTAAAACGCGTTCGTTGACTGTGTTAAAATAAGTTTCAACATTTGTCTTTGTCTTTCAGAGGAGCAGGACTTCCAACTGTTATCATAACAGGTCATGTTAAAGCTGGAAAATACGAACCAGGAGATATCATAGATGATGGTGCCCGTGACACTTGGTGTGCTGTACATGTGGATGGTAGTTGGCAGCTTGTACACCCAAAATGGGTTTGCAGAGGAACATATGGTAAAGAAAAGGATGATTGGGTACAGATTGAGGACGATCCTTACCTAGCCAAAAAAGACCTACAACGTCAAAAGGAAAAAGAAAAAGAAAAAGAAAAATATATATTGACTTTCAATGAAGAATTCTTTATGCCTAAACCAGAAGTGTTCATATATAAGTGTTACGCAGACGAACAAAAGTGGCGCTTGATACCAGAAGAAATGAATTTAACATCCTTAAACGATTTTATGAAACTAGTTTATATTTCTCCGCCATTTTTCAAACTTGGACTTAGTTTAGCCAATAACCCATCTTGTGTTCAAAAGTCGACAAACGGGGTAGTTATAATTGAGATCATTGCACCAAAAGACTTCATTCATGCACTAAATCTTGGTTATCAAATATATGCGGAACAAAATGAAACTAAACATAATGATTTATACAAAAATCTCTTACAGAAGGACATTCTTTCACGACTTGTTTTAAACTACAGGAGCAATGACAGGTTTGTGTTTGAGATCCGACTTCCGCTTGAAGGTAATTATCAATTTGTAATAGTAGGTGGATTTGGCACAGACCTCAGTAATATATGTAGATTCAAACTGGTATGTACGGAAAGTGTAGGGGAATGGTTTGTTCCCTTTCTACACCCTGGTAATAACGGATGGGGACCGGGTCCTGAAATGGAGAGAGTTGGCTTACTGTTGCCGACGAAACCAAGTGGTAAATTAACGGTTTCGTCGCGGCAGAACTCGGGCGTAGTTAGACACAGTTCATCAGTGTTTTACCATCTTACAACGCTTAATTTTCAGATAAACAAGGCACTTATAAGGAAATATGAGTACACTGTTGAAATAATGCCGTCAACATTTATTGACACGAGAACCATTGCCTCACATTTTACACCTAATGGGGAGCTAAAGGGTGACTTACACTTCAAGGAGAAGGAGATGGAGAGGGAGAAAAGAATGGAACATGTTAAATCAGAGTTGAGCGAACAGAGTCAGGATGATGATTTGCCGGTACGTGCCCAGTACACAAAAGATATTTCATCCAGGCAGTTCACCGTACAAGTTATAGGTAACCTGATAGGGGAAGAGTGTGCAGTAATTATAAAGGCAACTGAAATGGAAATTATGAACAACTTACGGGTACCAAAGAAAGGAGTTCCTACTAAGATAGTTTGTTACTATTTGCTTACAAATGCAAGCACGTTCTTTCATCGCGAGGTAAATCTACTCTTAATTCATGATCTTAAAAACTTAATATATTTATATATGATCAATTAAGGTTTCAAGTTAATATTATAAGCATTAAAATACCTAATAATTCAACGTTAATCACTAAAATAACAATTTTGGCTGCACTGTAGCTCAATGAATACTTTTCTGTGTTTTCGCTTTATTCGAAACTAAGTCTTTCACAATTATTTGAAATATATGTGCATCCACTTTAATCTGGAAACAATAAACCAAAGTGACACAGTAAAAGCCTTTTATTCTAGGTCGGCAATTGCCATATGCATCCCATGCATCTGAAACTTGATAAATGTTTTCATTTTATCCACAAAGATGATCTTCATTTTTATCAAAGAAAATTCTTCAAGCAAAAAATCATTTATATTTTGTGTCTCAGATAAATATAGTAAAGCAAAGTCCATATTTCAATTTAGCTACTTGTAGTTTGTTTTCAATGGAATGTTTTTTTTTGGTAACCATCAGCATACAGAGGTGAAATTGTGCAAGTCGGCTCTGCATGATGCAATGAATACTCAGAACATTGACAAAATACAAAGTGCCATGAACAAATGTCTGAAATTCAAAGTTCCAGTTACAGATGACGCTATAGCAGCTGCCGAGGCAAGACTTGAGTACTTAATACTCAGAGCTGGTGAGATATATTTGCGTATGGAAATACAAGTATTGATGAAATATTTTGTTAACCAACTTAAATATATCACGCAAAAGTAAATATAAGTTGTCATGTTCATTTTTAACGTGATTTTAAATTTGAAGATATGTAGAACTTCACGTACAGAAGTGCCTGTTTGAGCTTAATTCTTTTGAGATTTAATTGAATTAAAGACATGTGTTGTACTAACGGGTATTTAAAAAGTTTTTTCTCAATGTTGTTAATAACTTTCAAACCGAACGATTAATACGTTAGATTAATTCATCACAGTAATCTAAAGACATCATGAGAAAACACATTTTCTTCTCTTTTTTTTAGCTTCTGAGGTAGATTTAATTATCTTTTTGTATTTCAAGGCATATTGTCAAGATAACTTTCTAAGAAACTGTAATTGGGCACGATCAGCAATTGTTGGTATCATTGCATTTTCATTTACAGGGCGTACATACGACACGTAAGTGAAGTGACCATTCATTGCAGAATTAGTTGTAATAAATAAATTTAATATTAGCTTCGTTTAAGAAAAATACGAATTAATTAATTCTGTAAGCAATTTCATATTGGGCTGAGATAAGTTCTGATTAATTATTAGTATTGTTAAAACAACCATTATTTTACAGAAATGGTGGAATGTATTAAACGTCGTAATATTGCAGTTGTAAATGAGACTCTAAGGCGTGTTGTTGGCTATAGATACAGGGAGGCACTAATAGTGGAAGTGGAGAAACTATGGGCATTCAGGAAGGAGCTGCAGAGTCTGGAAGGTGAATCATTATGATAATGATGATGATAATGACGCTGTTGCTGATGATATTACTAATCATACCAATAATTTTAATAATAATAATAATAATAATCATAATCATATCATAAAAATCATAATATATTAATAAAGTTTATTAACAATTTTAACTAGAAGGCAAGTAATACACTGTTAAAACATGTACATTATTTGTAATTCTATTGTTCCTTTGATTTTATAAGTTCATAACACTTTTGATAATCACTAACTTCTTTGGATCCGTTTTGTTAGGCCGTACACGTTAACAAATACGTCAAGTTTTGAAAACTTATCAGTACCTAACTTAAAAGCTTGCATTTCTGTCACAGGTTATCCACAAGGCCTGCCACCAATGCGAGAATCTATTGAAGAAATGTACAAGCTAGCCTCGGCTAAACCACCCGTGCACAATACCATGAAAGCGTTGTTGATTCTCCTTGGTTACGAAGGAAATTTAAAGGTATTTCCAGCCACTTACAAATTTTTTCAGCTGACACACATTTGTGATGACGAAGACGTTGGTGGTGGTGGTGATAATAGTGGTGATGCTATTTTCCCATTTGTTTCCTTTTTTACGGCGCACCAGCAAAATTAAGGTCATATGGCGCCTAACTTAAACAGGAAATATGATTTTGGCCAACCTCGGGTGTTACAAACTTAAAGCAACACCAAGGGCAAAACCAATGCTTATAAATATATCAAATAGTAACTAGTAGTTTTGAAGTTGCCTAAAAAGTATACTAGCGCACGTTGTTCTTATGATATATTTATAGAAGATATATATAGTGGAAGACATATTGCCTCGGAAGAGGTGATTTATGTTTTGTGATTTAATTCTTTACAAGTTTTATGATAAATTGTATGCTATATAGGAATGTTACAAAATTATGATTACATGTATTTGCAATATGCAAAGTTAATTTTGAAAGGTCAATACACTTTTTAAAATGTTATCATTGTGACAATACTGGTATTTCTTCCTGTTATAGGAGTGGTCGTTTATACATAAACAATTAAAAGTCACAACAGACAAGTTGTCGGATATGGGCATTATAAGAAGAATTGAGTACATGACCAACCACTCTTTCCCCTGGCGAAAAATGGATTTCAAGGTTCTGCAGAGAGTTTACAAGGTTGTCCATGAGTACCAGTTTGAACACGTGAAGCACGTGAGTCTGGCAGCAGCGGCAATATACAAATGGGTAAGTACTTCTAAGCATACTTCAACCACCAGAGGGATGAATCCATTGATGAAATTATAAGTACCTTGCAAAATGTAAACGCAGAAAGTATTTCGTCTAGTAAATCACATTTCGTTGCTGATTTTACTTTTTAATGCAATTTGAATACTTATGTTTTCTTTAAAGCAAAACGGCAAATTCGTTCTTCATGACCTGTTTTGTATCATATTTGTAATTCTGTTTATAGTCATAACACAAAACATGTTTTTATCTCTTTTAAGATTTATCAATGTATCGTTTTCAGATTGAAAAGATGTTGAAGCGAGCAAAATATGTTCTGCAAGGTGGAGAAAAGCAATAGACATCGTCATATTTGAAAATACCGTTTATCAACCGATTTTGACATTTATTACGAAATAAAATGTGATATCAACTGCCATGTTTTTGTGTTTTAATAATTATGTAAAATAGGGATGATGTATAATTGAGATAAAATAGAATGTAGGAAGCACTTGCCCTATATGATATCCCTTAGCCAAAGTTTTAATGAGGAGAGAGGATCCTCATAAAATAGAATAACACACCAAATCATATATCGGTAGTTTAAAGCTGTTTGCACATAAGAATAATTCAATTCTACCTTTATCTAACGTGAATGATACTCTTATCATATACAGTAAGACATGCTATACTTCCTAATGAATAATGCTTAAGCCGATGGTACATGTAACGTGCATGATGGACGTTGACCTTACCTTTATTACCTTTATCTCTAAGATCTCTAACGAGCAGACACAATCAAACTGAGTCTGCAATTTAGACTCAGTTTTCATTGCTCTCCCTCTCGCCGGATCTCTACTTTTCCATACTTTAAATGACTCATATACTATGTATTAATGTGCACTTTTATATAATCATTCCAACATTAGAAGCATTGCCTTTTATTCACGAATAATCCGCAATTTCACACAGTCCTTATTTTAATAAGGTAAAATTCAAACAATATAAATGTCCAAATGACCCCTCCAAATTTTTCGCTACTGTGTTAAAACGTAAAATTTAATGATAAAAGGCCGACATTAAGGCAGATATAATTTATTTTAATTTTTGCAATTACTAAAGAACATGATAATAATAATATAAAAAAAACACATTTATTCACATCTTTGTGATTTTTCGAGTAAAAAAAATCATTAAGTTGCACAGCGCATGGATATTGGGGATATGGATTTAATAGAAGTCAAGAAATTGTTAAATAAATTAATATATATTAAGAAGAAATAAAGAAACCAACAAAATAAGATCGACAGGAACACTCGTTGTATATTAAATCAATTTCATTTAGCATAAATTCAGAACACAATATAGAATTACTATCGACACAATAGTAAAAACTTTCAAACATGACATTTTCGTCGTACTTATGAAGCGTAAAGGCCTTTTATAATAAACAATAGTATATCTTACACATATAACACTAAGTGTCTATCTATCAATTCATAATCTTTATCTGTTCAACCACATACAAATTACATTAAAAAGACGAATATCCTGTTTCTAAAAGAGAACACACGTTTGCATGTGGCACTGTATCTGTTTTGTATTAAATGAAAAAGGCAGTAAAATATGATTAAACTGAACTAATTAAGAAATGGAGACATCTTTCCAATTAAAAATAATAGGAGCTGTTACTTTTATGATGACACTAACGTTTGAATATATTATTCAGTCGGTGAACAAAACTACCGAAATATATTTACACTCAACCTGTTCGATATTATCGCAGTTTCAAGGACAAACTTCGGATAGGATACTCGTACAATAAGTTATAAGGATTTGAATTGTAAACTTCTATATGGGTAATCACATCAACAGAGGTAGCAATTCGAACAGAGTCGCTTCTCAAGGTGAAAGTAATAAGACAAAGGTAAATTACCGCGTAATTTCTAATTCTTTTGAACTTGTATTCATTCATCTTTAAATCTTTATTAAATGAAAAGTTATTAGTTTGTTTTTTGTGAGAGTGTGAAAGGACTTTTTCAAATGGTAGAACGTAAAAAATCATTAAAAGTATAAAGGCACAAATGAAAAAGACGTCTCAAAATGATGTCAATTATTTCAAAATAATTGTGTTCTGGTGGATATAGCACTAGTTGTTGATCGAATTGAACTTAAAAATTAAGTTTTTATTAACCTCGACAATTGACAATTAAAAAAAGACACTTTAAGAGTTAATTTAATAGAATATAAATTAGACACGTGTTTGCGCTTTTATGACATGCATTTATATTATATAAGTTTTCGTGCCATTTCGCATTTTTTATGCACAGATTGATATACCAGAGACAGAACCGGGGTACAGCTTTCCAGAACCTCCATTGTTAAACGTAGATGATATAAGACCACCAATTCCTTGGTACCAGGATGACGAAAAAGACGAGGAGTTTGATTGGTCACAGTTGCGTGCTGAACATGGTCACGCAGGTGGTGATGGAAATTCTTTGAATAATGGTAATTTTTCAAAATAAATAAATATCGTGTCGTTTGAAGGTACAAATCAATCGGCTATATTGAAAACATAAAATGGCCTTCAAATAAAAGCAAATACGATTTTCCTTTGTAAATATAGTATGACGCAATTGACAAAGATATGTTTGAAACAATTAACGTTTTAAAACAGGTAAAATCTAAGAAAGTAAAATATATAAATATCCAGCAATCTGCATAGCGTTTTAGAACAGAAACACAAATTGCAAGCCATGGTTGAATATGTATAGAGAGATAGCTCTATTATACAATTTGTCTTGTTTTATATGATATATTTCAGGAATTAGAACATTAAAGACACCCAGATCAGTATTGACAGCCTCCTCACACACACCTAGTCCACTTGTTAATCGTTCATTAACTACTCCATATGGACGCGCTATAACATTTATTCATAAAGAGCGAGGAAAGAAGACTGTTTTGAAACGTAACGGTTCAGCAATCTCTAGTGGCGCTGTATCTCTTCATAGCGCATTACGTCGTCCAAAAACGCATCCCGACCATAGCCAGTTATCATTCACGGAAATAGATGAACACGCACGAAGGGTAACGTTTAATGTTTGTTTCTAATTTAAAAACACTCAGTAAATGTTGTAATCATCTTTAATACAGTACAAGTAAGATATGCAAAGGAAATTCATAATTATGTAATACAAACAAGTGAGACAGTCATCACTGGAAATGATTATTTTAAAGGTAAAAGACTTAGCAATTTTGTCATTGTTCCTTTCAAGAAAGACACATATAGAGTGGTTTCGTAACAGAAAATTTGGTTTTGGTAAATAGCAATATTATAAAGTTACACTTTCCTTTCCTATACATTGATTTAAATTCACCTTGATTTGTTTCATGTGAAGGCAACAAAGCAGGATGCCCTAACGTTTACAGATTTGGTATACTACCTTAAAGAACCAGTCAGATTCCACTATCATTCAGAACTAATGATTGCACGTGCAATAATTGTGTGGTTAGCCAATCAAAAATCTAGAAAATCCTTATTCATGAAAGGTGACACGTCAACACCGACAAAACTACTGCAATTAGTCGTAACAGGCAAAATAACTCATGCAGACGCTTATGCTGTCATATGCCGGTATTATATTAAAATATATATTAATGTTCTATATATATGTCAGGCTTTTAAAAACCTAAGTTAACAAATAATTGACTTAAATCCAATATAAACTTGAAATGCGGAAATATCTTACGGTTGTAGCGATCAGAAAATAGAAAATGGCATATTATTTCTATGTTAAAGAATACAAGGAACATTTCAAATATGATATACATTGTATATCTAAATATATCGAACTGTTTAACGATAATGTTATAATCATACGCAATCAACTTACTTAATTTGTAAAAGAGGAATTAAAAATTCATAAGGCACCTAAACTTTCACTAACGATAATTGTGAGGGTTTTTTTTAAACAATTTTAGATCAGCCTGATTTAATGAGTCAACATTTAAGTTTTAAATATGTGGTAACATAAAAAGAACGATGTTTAAGTGATTTAACTTTTCCTACAGTCTTTGAGTATAAATACCTAAACATAACTGTGAATACAACTTCATTGACAGCAAAAATGGTTTTATATACCTAAAATACATAATACTGGTTATCATAATCAAGTTAGTGAATTACTTTATATCAATCGCAATGTATCATCAAAACAGTTCAGTATGAAGCAATTTCGTTTTCTTTTCCAGAGCAGCAGGACTCCAATGCGTTGTCATTGACGGAGTTTCAAAACCTGACGAACTAGAACCGTTAAACGACCAAATTGAGTTGTTGCCTGATAAATGGACAGCCGTCAATGTTGAAGGCGACTGGCAGATCGTGCATCCACATTGGATGTGCAAGGTTCGATGATGTTTCTAAAATTTGCATAATTACATTTTCCGTCGTTCAAACATATTTTAGCATATCTGATATATATCCGATAAAAAAGTGAAACTGTGGTATAAGAAAGAGTTTTGATATACATGTTATTGCAGTTAGTATTAAATGTAACATTTTGATTACAACTTACAAGGTTTAATTTCTTTGTACCTCAACAAAACATTGCTATTACTTTAGGCAAGTTGAATTGGTCAGACTGAGATATATACACTGTATACATGTATATAACATTGTATTGGTTACATGATTGTAAAATAGGAAGTGTCAGACTGAGATATATGCACTGCATTTATATTATAATTCTTGTGAAACCATTAACATTCTCCTATTTATATAAATAAGTAAATGTCTGAAGATCAAAACTGTATAATAAATTATATTCTTGATTTCTGTGGAATGAATATGTTTTTTTTCCAGAGTATTGCAGCTTCTAGCGCAGGGGTTGAGGAATGGATAAACAGAGAAAGACAAAGTAAAGGAAAATCGAGATCCGAAGCTATGAAAGCATTCAAGGAAATAATCAAAGGTTTTATCAACGAGGATTATTTTATGCCAGCTCCCGAAGTATTTATCCATTCGAACTATCCGAAATATGCAAGATGGCAACTTCTTAGCCCAGAATACACGATTGAATCAAAGGATGAATTTTTGTCACTGCCATTCATATTTCCTGCATTTTTTAGACTTGGATTAAGGCTTGATACCAAACCAAATTTTGTCCTACACTCTAACGATGGAAAGTGTATCAATTTGGATATCTACTGAATTCAACAACGCCCATCGGTTGACTTTAACGTATGACTTGCATCTATTAAGTACACATTATGATCGATCAGAAGTTCTGCTTCCAAATCTAAAGAGACAGGGCTTGTATTGTAGACATAATGATATGTTTGTTTTTGAAATACGCTTTCCTGTTGAAGGTTATTTCAAGTTAGAGCTATTTGGTGGATATCATAGGTCTCATTCCATGAAACTCTGCTACTTTAAGTTAGTGTGCGAGAAAAGTCTTTCAAATTTTCGGTACCTCCCTTACTATACTGAAAACTTAATGTGGGGCCCTGGGCCATCATGTGAAGAATATGGTCTCGTTTTACCTTCAAAGCCAACAGGAATTGTAATTGTAGACCAGGAGCCGAAATTATCTATTTTAAGCACTACACAAAGTACTAAACAGCCGACTTATAAACCTGTATATTTTGTTTTTGATCTACATACAGACAAATCAAGGGATAAAGTATTTACAATAAAGATGTATGGATATGATCCTGGACTAGCGACAGAACTTGCTACGCCATTTGACGAAAATGGTGAACTTGTTGATAAAACAAAGAAGAAGAGGAAGAAGGGAGACATTTTTCCGGAGAACAACACGGATTATACGACTTATGCAGAATGTGAGCGCGATGATTTGAAGAAACAACTTAAAATCACAGTTCAGATTCCGCACGAAGGAGAATTTGTTCTTGTCATTAAAGCTTCGTCTGCTGTAAAGGATGTTGATGGTAAAATTACTGCTGTTAATGACGCTGTTGATGTTTGTGTGTATCTTCTACGCACTTCAGATGATCCGCATAGAGAGGTTTGTAAGATTAGTAATTTACATGCCGAATTGAAACATGGCTAGGTTATGGACATCTTCATTAATACTATAACGGCTTATTTTTTTATTTATCGTATAATTTGACTTCACGTTTTCATGACATATTATACTATTAATTATATTTATCAAAGGAAATCTCAACTACTTTAATCAAAGCAGTTTTTTTGATACAATGCCAATAATTGATATATTAATTTATTTAATTTTTCAAAAAGATGATAATTATAATAACAGGATGTTCATATTTTACGATATATTTAAATATATGCCATAAGCAAAAAGTAATAATATGACAATGGTCTTTTTAGAGTTTTTGATTCTTTTTTACAGAATGTCCCTCAAAAATTAGCGCGGAAGGAACTGATTCGATCAATGCAAGGAACAAGCAGTAACGTTATAAAACAAGCTGTAGACAAATGTTTGAAGGTGAAAATAGATAAGAATGATGGTGACATTGCCGCAGCCCAAACAAAGGCAGAGTATCTCACCTATAGGAAAGGTATTATGTTATATTACTTCAAGACATTAATATTGACGGTCTCATGTACAACAGTTGCAAGATTCAGCCTTATACTAGTACTTAATACTAGTAGTATTTATTAATTATAATAAATAAATTTAAAGAGCATCCATTTCTTGCCAAACAATTCATCATGAATGTGTGCTGTCATGCAGTTCATAAAAGTGTTTTCACAAGAGAAGAAATGATTTCATTTTTCTTATTCGATAAATAAATCATTTTACCACATGCCATGCCACATGCCAGTGGACTTATAAAGCAAATCAAATAAAATTCTAAATTTGGGTTTTTCCTGTTGACACCTCCAATAAGGCTTCATTGTCTAAAACTCATTTTTATCTGAGGCGCATTTGTAGCTCCATAAAATAAATAGCACTATAAATGTCTGATTGATAATTTAATCAAAGATTAAAGTATCCAACATCAATACCAGCAGGATATCTAAAGCTGCAAAGTGTCCTTAATTTTTAAGCATCATACATGGTATTTGTTTTTTTTTCGTTTTTGTTTTTGTTTGGATTTTGTTTTTGTTTTTCGAAAGAAAACATATAAAACAGTTAAATTCAAACATTCTTATTCTGCAATAATTTATATATTATCTTACAAAGAAAATACATAACTAATGTACTAACTAAAACCAATGAATTAACATTCCGAGCGATCGTAACCGATCTGAAATTAAAATTATAAACAATGTAGACAGTACAATTCATAGTACTAAAATACATTTCTGTGAATATGGTGACTTCTATTTTATTAGTGTGCTGTATCAAAAATATAGCTTTACTTGTAAAATATCGAACCTAAAATCAAGGGTTTAGGTACGCATTTAAAGAATAAAGGATATAGTACTACCTTAAGTTCCAAAATACATGCTTAACTTGTCTAATATTAAAACTAAAACTGTGATGCACAAAATCTCATCCTATTGAACGGATACCTGACTGTTAATATTTTATTAAGGAGTTTTAAGGTCATTGTTATTTTCGGGGCCTATGTTCATACAGAAGTGAGCATTATTATAGATATGACCATTCCACATCGTATAAAGTCGTATTAACCAGCATTAATAATCTCTGCAAGATCTCAACAATGACTAATAAGTGCTTTATCTTCAGCTGTGTTCGATGCAATACATCGTAGAAACTTCCGAATTATTAATGAAGAGCTTCTGAAACTATCAAAGTATAAACACAGTGGTGCTCTCGCTTCAGAAATAAGGTAAGTTACGTGCAAAATTTACTTTGAACAATGTATGAACTAAAAATTTTCATCAATTCACTTGTAATATTTGGACTCCAGTCTTAAAATACCATTGATCAATACTTTGAACTTACGTCTAGCATTTGCGGTGTATAGACAGACAATGTTCCACATCCGCGCAGTCTGAACAAATCTCAATGTAAATCTAAGCAATCACTCGCAGATTAAGTGCTTACCGAAGTTAACAAGATTTTAAGGTAAAATTCTTTATACACATATATGTATTTACGATGCCTGCTAGATATAGATTTAAAATATGTGTTTAGCATATGTTTGGTATTGATTTAGTTCAACTGTTATTTCAGAATGCTTTTCACCTTGCGGAAACAGCTGAACATGCTCATAGAATTAACAAAGCATATACCAGAGCTCCAACGTGCAGCTGCAGATCTTGTACAGATAGAGGAGCCGTCACCAGAAGTTCATATAACGATGGGTGCGTTATTTCTACTACTAGAGGAACCAGACAAATATTTAGACGTAAGCACTTTATTATTTGTATGTTCATATAGCATGGTTTTTCAAATCTCGTTAAGCTTTAATAACTCCGCTTGGTTTGCGATCAAACTTAACATTTCAGTTTATATTTTACCTTGTAAGACATGTTAAACCTTCACCTGAATTTTTGCAATCTTCATGATTATCGATATAAGGTCAAGGTATTCCTTAACCAGTACAACAGGATATTGTCAGTCTTAATATCTTTAATTATGTCAAATCAATACTTTTCATGTGTTTTAATTTTGGTGCAGGTATTTGTGTCATTTGAGTACACACTGTTTCACCATAATTTTCTTCTTTTAAGAATTGGGAATTCATTGTAAAGCAGTTTAAATCTGATAAAAAGCAAGGTGGGGAGAGTCCTATTATAAGAAAAATGTATCTGGTAGCTGAAATGTATCCTCCAAAGAATACAAGACGAAAGATCAATACACTTTTAACAGAATACAGCTTCGAGCAAGTCAAACATGTCAGTACTGCGGCGGCTAAATTTCATGTATGGGTATGTGATCGTTTTATATATAACATTAAGAAAAACATTACTTCCTAAGCAAAAGGTTGTCTTATTTTAGATATCTGGAAAAAAGTGATCCCTAGGAAGCATTAAAACAGCAAAATTACATGAAATTTGCAGACTCGGTATGATTAAAGACCCTCTCAAGTTCTCTCAATGGTTTGTAATACCAGCAGAAACATAGTTGTCAAAATGCAGAACCTTTTAAGGATTTATTTGATTAGAGAGCATTTATAACTATGACTTGCTTCAATGTATGAGCGTTTTAATGAAATTGTTGAATCTTGTTGTTCAGAATAATCTAAAAAATAATTGAAGTAGATAAGGCAAATCGCATGGTAACAGGGTATTTTAACTTATAGATAGTGATACTTAAATATATTTGTGTAATACTAATACTTCCCCCACGTTACAGGCGTAGTTTTGTTTATTATTGAACAGTATGATATTGTTGCTTGTAAAATACAAAAAGAAGTTCTTGGAAGTAGACAAAACATTGTTATGAGATAATTATTTTAAGTATCAATTCATAACAAGGTTGGTGAATAGTATATATTCATGGACAATTTGCAGGTACAAAAGGTAATGGCAGTTCTTCAGGACTTGGAGTTTGACATTGAATTTCCGTCTAACATAGAAGCAGCAGACGACAATTTAGAGGATGAAAATGCAAAAGAAACAACGGATGCACCAGAAACAACGGATGCACAAGAAACAACGGACGTGGATACTGTGCAAAATTTTGACAACAAATCAAAAGAAGGTGATACGAAAGAAGATAATATTCTAGCAGAGCACGACACCTAGGTTAAACAAAATCATGAAAATAGTCTCTATAATAAATAATATTTTATTATTATAATATAAGTATTACAAATCATCAATATGAAATAATTCTTACACTTCAAATGCAATGTATTAAAATAAAATACCAACATTGTATGTTTGAAAATTGAGGCGCTATTAATGCCATTACATAAAGTTTTGAAACAGTATAGACTATATGTGATAAGGACTTTGTGTATATTTACAGAATTTCATATATTAAGTTGTATTGATACATATATAATGCTATGCATATTTTATCCGTTGCATGATACCGACATTTTTTATGCAAATATTCTGTCAATATTTATAGTTGTGCAGGAAAGTTATATTACAATCGTAAACATTCATCATGATAGGTGAAAATGTTTACAAAGCTCAGTAATAAACCAATCCTGCAATAAAACTATAAATAGTTTGCAAAATGTACTACATAATTCAAAAATTTTCAAACCAGATTTGTTGCTTTTCTATTATAGAAAAACACGTTTTAGCAAAAATGCTATTTTTTATTTTGTTTTTAAAAAAGACGAAGTCCATCATACTCCAACTTCATTTAGTCTTGCAAGTGTTTATCGATGTAACTATCAAATTATTCCCGTAACAAATAACCTAATATAAACTTATACCCTTTAAGAAATTTAGGGTTCCATTTAATTTTTCTATTTGTTCTTTTTAACCCATTTACTGAACATTTATTTAGACACAATTTTCATGTCGGTAAAATGTCTTGTAGTAAGGCAGGATGAAGCCATTTTGTTTCTCTCCTGTCAATACTATTTCCTTATAAAATTTGGAATGCCATTTGGAACGCAAGCCTGTGCACATCCCGGCGAGTAGTCATTCGTGTTGCAGAAAGTTACATTACAGTATATGTTTAGACCTTCTTTATTGGTGGAGTAGACGAAGTCTTGGAACACAAATCTTGTCTCGTGTGTTGACTGAGATATTATATGAGTATTACTATCAGTTTCACATCTGAAATAGATGAATTATTTTCTATATAATGTATTGAATACACCATTTGTCATTACACGTCCTAATAAAATGACCGAATGTAGTAAATTGTATGACACTATTACTAGTATACATTGTGATAATCACACTGGCCATAGCTTTCGCAGAAGCGACGGATCCATCGCAGCGGCGGTTGAGTATTCGTCGCAGAAGCGGTGGATAAAAAATGGTAGTTTGTGCGTTTGTAATTTAGATACATTATCATCACCAAATCCTGATTTTAACTTTTGTCCTCAATGTTAAGACTTCGCATTTTTATCATAAACAAGTACACTGCCTGATATCAAATTTATAAGCTCAATATGACGACTGTAATTTGTTTTGTCGTACATATTGCTGATTTAAGTCCTGAAAAAGTGAAAACCAATGAACGTGAAATTAATAAATAAAATATTTATTATCTACACTTGTAACTAAAGTTGACTTTCTTTTGAAATTAATAAATATGCCAAAATTGGCACACATGTATATGGAAAACTGTAACGTAAAACTATTTTAAAAAATAATTTAAAATTAGTAATGTTTTGAACAATCTTGATTGTAGACCTTTTCAAGCATTGTTTAAGATATGACATTTTGTTTTATTTCCACTTTGTTTACATAATTATCATACCCGTTTTTTATCACGTAGTAATTTTTACTCTCATCCGAATCCTGCGAGGGTATTGTAAAACACGTGTGAAGCCTCATTTTCACTGACCAATCCGCTTCCGGTGTAAACACCTTGACGTATACGTCATCACCCACTTGAACGTGAATAGGGTTTCCGGATAGTTGATGCATGAAATTTGGATCCTTGAAAAACGTCATATCTATCTTATGATGACCGGAGACGACTGAATGATGGGTGTCTATGTCGTGATGAACATGTTCTGACGTCACTTCGTTGCGACTGACGTCACATTCTAAAGAATATTTCCATTTGTATTGTCGAATAATAAACGGATTATTTGCATCGTAGATAGCGTAGTATAGCTCATTAGTGTAGATTTGTACACCATTAGATACCTAATATTGAAAAAAAAGATAAACAAACGTATGTTTTTGTAAAATCAATTGACTCTAAAAGATTTATATCAAGAAAAAAAGAAGATTCAAACAGAATTAATAAAATAAATGTAAATACAACCTGTATTTAAGACCACCTGCCATTAAAGACCACCTTGTATAAAACACATTTCGATAAACCTTCATTGATTAAACAGAACGCAGCCATCTCCAGATAAAGGTAACTTGTCTATTAAGGCCATGAGCGGTCTGTTTACTGGATGGCCTTTGTTCACAGGTTTTACTGTATAAGCTGTAACTTTGGATGTGCACAATTTTGTAGATCATTGTAATCTTCAAATTTCATAGCTTCACGTAGCTATAAAATTATGCCTCCATATGAGTCAAAATATTTCAATAAAACCAAACTTGAGAAAAAAGTTCTAAGATGTAAGGAAAAGTAAAAACTGTCAAGATTCAAGTAATATTTTACATATTATGTGCGATTTATGACTGATTTTTCAGTGTTTACAACTATATTTCTACTGTGTTTCTAACGCAGAAAAGGCTATTTATGCATATTTTGACCACTTTTTGGTAATTTACCTGGTTGGTAAGTGCCATTGATAATGTTTGAATTGCGTCCTTTTGGTTTCTTCACAATATTACACATGAAAAAATTATTTTCAAATTTTTCATGAAAATTAGCATGAATCTGGAGGCGTGTTGCTTTAAGGATGTCCCTTTTTCCAGATTTTCTTATAATAAATTGTGCTTGCGTAAATATTTTAACACGTAAATGACATACCCAATACTAAAATTAATAATTTATTATGTGTATCGTTGTTAACTTACTTGTTCAGATGTGAGGCAGCTTCCGAATCTTTGTTGAAATAATAGCACATTTCCTTGCTCTTCACCTCTGCAAGTGTTATCACCAAGAAATATGTTGTTGGCAATTACTTCAGGATAAAGTTTCTTAAGCATTGGCATGTCTATTGATATATTCCAGCCAGAACTGGAGCACCTTGCTATGACGACATCTTCTAGTCGTAAGACTATTCAGTAGAAAAAAATATTTAAACAAATATTACGGAAGCGGCATATGTTTGTATAATATTTAATTGAAAAATCAAAATGATAAGCTTAGATTTAACGAAAAAATGCTATAACATGTTTTCTGTGGTCATGAATGCATTTAAATACAAAATGTTTAATATAGCACAAAACGCCATTCGACTTAACAATAGATGGAAGGTGCGGTGGTTTTACATAAGAAGATGATAGATGGTCTTTATTTTATGTAGAAATAACCTTTGTTCATATTGTTAAAAAAATACACAGTTCACATACATGGTTGAAAAGAAACTCAAATGAGATTAAAAGTGATTATAAAGTATGATACAAAACGTTTGTGTAACGTTACGACTCCTATAAGGAACTGTGGTCTTATATAAATAATGAAATAAAGACTTATTTATATACAACCTTTTATCTGTGAAGTTACTGTTGTCAAATTTGTTGGTGTCGTTCTCGGTGAGGCGGGCGTTTTTGTTGCTCTCAGTGTCGTACTTGTTGTGGTTAGCGTAGTAGAAGTTGTTCTTGTTGTTGTTGCAGATGTTGATGGTGTCGCAGATGTTGTGGCTCTGGGTATAAATTTAGTTGTTGGTGTAGATGTGGTGGTTGAAGACGTAGTTGATGTTGTAGTAGGTGTTATAGTTGTTGTTGGTGTCATAGTTGTTGTTGTTGTTGTTAGTGATGTTGTTGTGTTTGTCGATGTTGTTGTGGTCGTCGGTGTTGTTGTTGTTGTTGTAGGTGTCGTAGTTATTGTTGGCGTCGTAGTAGTTGTCTGTGTCATAGTTGTTGTGATTGCCGGTGTTGTTGTGGTTGTCGGTGTTGTTGTGGTTGCCGGTGTTATTTTGATTGTCGCTGATTTTATGATTGCCGGTGTTGTTGTGGTTGTCAGTGTTGTTGTGATTGCCGGTGTTGTTGTGATTGCCAGTGTTGTGGTTGTCGGTGTTTTTGCGATTGCCGGTATTTTTGTGATTGTCGGTGTTGTTGTGGTTGCGGATGTTGCTGTAATTGCCGGTGCTATTGTGATTGCCGGTTTTGTTGTGGTTGTCGGTGTTGTTGTGATTGCCGGTGTTTTTGTGATTGTCGGTTTTGTTGTGGTTGTCGGTGTTGTTGTGATTGACGGTGTTATTGTGTTTGTTGGTGTGGTTGTGATTGCGGGTGTTGTTGTGATTGTCGGTGTTGTTGTCGTTGCCGGTGTTGTTTTTATTGTCGGTGTTATTTTGATCGTCGCTGATTGTATGATTACAGGTGTTGTTGTGGTTGTCAGTGTTGTTGTAATTGCCGGTGTTGTTGTGATTGCCAGTGTTGTGGTTGTCGGTGTTGTTGCGATTGCTGGTGTTTTTGTGATTGTCGGTGTTGTTATGATTGCCGGTGTTGTTGTGATTGCCGGTGTTGTTGTGATTGTCGATGTTGTTGTGATTGCCGGTGTTCTTGTGATTATCGGTGCTGTTATGATTGCCGGTGTTGTTGTGATTGCCGGTGGTATTGTGATTATCGGTGTTATTGTAATTATCGGTGTTTTTGTGATTATCGGTGTTTTTGTGATTATCGGTGTTTTTGTGATTGTCGGTGTTTTTGTGATTATCGGTGTTTTTGTGATTATCGGTGTTTTTGTGATTATCGGTGTTTTTGTGATTATAGATGTTTTTGTGATTATCGGTGTTATTGTGATTATCGGTGTTTTTGTGATTGCCGGTGTTTTTGTGATTGCCGGTGTTATTGTGATTATCGGTGTTATTGTGATTATTGGTGTTTTTGTGATTGTCGGTGTTTTTGTGATTATCGGTGTTATTGTGATTATCGGTGTTTTTGTGATTATCGGTGTTTTTGTGATTGTCGGTGTTATTGTGATTGTCGGTGTTTTTGTGGTTGTCGGTGTTATTGCGATTGCCGCTGTTTTTGTGAGTGTCAGTGTTGTTGTTATTGCGGGTGTTGTTGTGGTTGCGGGTGTCGTAGTTGTTGTTGATGTCGTTGGCGTTTTTATTTTCCCTGTTGTTTCCGTTGTTATCCCTGTTTTTAGTCTACAATCTATTACCAAGAAAATATCGGGAAAAGTTAGCTCGCTTGAACAGTATGCTGTTGATGATTTTAGGATAACATTTTACATTGCAAAATACTTAACATGTCTATTTAATGTTACTTTGAGACTTAAGTGTTTTCAATAAAAAATATCTCAAATAAAAATGTCAACTTAAGCTCTGTGATTATTTACTTCACATTTAAAATCGTGTTCTTTTTTCTCATTCAATGCTTTCATATACATGTAGGTGTTCGATTTAATCAAATTAACCCTCTTGATTGATTCAGATTTGATTTCTATTAGAACTTGACCGGAAGGAAAACACACATGTCAATGAATATAAAATTTTACGACATCATCTGTAAATAGGCGGCATAACATTAAAAAAAACAACAACAAAAAACCGAGATTTGAAAAAAACTGAATAATTAACAGATGTGATTCGGAGGTATTGTCTAAAACAGACGTTAAAATTACAAATAAAGTAATAGTAATAAAGATGTGATTGAAAAATATATATGAAAAAGAAATTGCTGACAACCCAAATGGAAACACTGAAACCGTAATTGACAAAAAGATTAGTTAGAAATGAGAACTGAAAGATAAAGCACAAAATCAATGCAATAAAAATATGAAAGAAAAGAAATGAAATGAGGTTTAAAACAAAATTGACAAAAAAAAAAACTCGGAATATGTAGAAAATTAAAACTCAAAAAAATTAGAAAGTATTTGAAAGGTGAAATTGTAAATAAGAATGGTAACAAAATCAAGTTTAAATATAATTGACATAACAACTGCACATTCTACAGTATACATGTATGCACTCTAAATTATATCAATCTTTATTAAAGTGAATTGGTCAATAATAGAAGATCTGTTATACTATAAATAATTGTTTTGGTATTAGTTAGTATCATACACGAAAAAAACCACTGAAGAATGACATTGTGTATATATCATGGATGTTGATGGTAAGTGCTAGATACATGATCCGATATAAGATATAGTAAATGATGTTTTGGAACAAAATATTATTATTCATCATATTTATTATAATTATTATGTATAAATAATTCTTGTACTGTTTCAATATATTGTTCTCAAAATATTTCATAAGAATAGTCAAATGATACACTTTTATTGTTTTTTATCAATAATTATATTTAAAATTGTTATGAAAAAAAATGTGCTCGTTGTACAATTTAAGACCAATCCAAATTTAAAGTATTAAAAAAAAGCAGCATGCCTCCAGATTCATGCTAACTTTTGTGAAAATTTTGAACATGTATTTGATTGTGTGATATTGTGAAGTATAAAAGTAAGCAATTTACACATTATCAATGCACTTAAAAACCAAGGAGGATACCAAAAAGTGGTCAAAATATGTATAAATAGCCTTTACTGCGTTAGTAACACAGTAGAAATATAGTTGTAAATACTGAAAAATCAGTCATTAATCGCACATAATATGTAAAATATTACTTGAATGTTAAAACTTTTTAGTTTTCCTTACATCTTAGTACATTTTTCTCAAGTTTGATTTTATTGAATTATTTTGACTCATCTGGAGACTTTAAGAGGCATGTCAATAGGAGAAAATACTGAATAAGTAAACGTTTTCTTGTTTGTTTTTAAACAAATGTCTTAAAGTTTCAAGATGGTTCGATTATTCATCTTCTTTAAGCTTATTGTATCTCTCTAAAATTTAGTCTAAAGATAATGTTCAAGATAATTTTACATTTTTACCATCAACAGAGAGGCATACAAACACGCACACATAAAACACAACAAACAATTCAAGTCGTTATGACAAGGGACATATTTTAGATCAGGACGATACAAACTCGGGTCAACGTAATTAAGTTATACAAAACAAGACTTACCATCATTTCTATTTACAGGATATATATGTATATCATCTATCCCTATCAAAATATGAGGTGGAATGTGATGCCCAGACGGTGTAACTCTTTCACTAACATTCGGATGAAATACAATCTGTAATTCACGAAAAGAATTATTATCATATAAAATGAAAGGGTGTTTCTCTCTATCAACATGTCAACTGACTTTTTTTTTTCAGATTTTGAACAAAATATCTATTTGTTTGTTTTGCTGTTTAAGTTTGTTTTATTAATAAAAAAATGTTATTTTTAAAAGAGCATGAATATTCATTACAAGTACCTACTCACTGTGTAAGTTTCTAAAGACAAACCTAATATTATATTATATTAGAATTTATTTCTTTTGAGATTGACATAATTATCAAAGCTGATAAAACACGTTATCAGGAAAATGCGACGACATGAGCAATACTGCGACCCTAAGTGATATTATGAAGTCAATTTGACTACACATGCACGTATTTATATTACCTCAAAATTTGATGTAGCCGAAAATGGAATAGACAATTCAGTCCAGTCTTTTGTCTTATTTAATATCCCTATAGTTCTATCTCCGTCTGCTGTATGAAGCATAATGTTACATTGGGTTCCAGTAGATGGTCCTGTCATCCACAGATTTAGACAATATCTGCCTGGTGACATACACTGTGTTGTCATCGTATCCTGTGTTTTATTTTCAACTTTTATTGCTTTAAATAAAGCAAAATAGTTATCTGAAATCAAAACATCGATAATAAAGCATTTAACTATGAATGTGTATTTGAACCTTTTATTCACGGGTTTATCCATTATTCGGACGAAAGAACAGTTTTAAGAATAAAATCGAGCATTGTCGAGCTATAGATTATACTAAATCTAACAGTTCTGTAAGCTACTCTCACACATAAAACGAGTCTAAAACACCAACATATTTGTTTACAAATATTAAATACGAAAATTTGCAGTTTTTATGAAATACAAGTGACCTAGAAGTAGCTCTTTTCTTAAAAAAATATATTCAAAGTAAGCTGCAACATTTGTACTCGAATTAGAAAATATCCTGTCAGATATAACGTTCGTTATATTTCATTTCTTTATCATCACTGAACCTTAAGGACTATATCACTGGCATCATTATATATATATTTTTTTCTCAAAACTGGGATGAGAAAACGACCCTTAACATAATTTTACAAATGACGTTAAAAGTCGTTAACGTTGTCAAGACATTTAAAATAAACAAGAAAGCCCTTGGTCCCTGGGTCGCTCTGAGGCATGGGTGTATGCTTGTATTTAGAGTTTGTGAAGACAAATATTCTTAGTTCCAATTGAACGAGGTAAAAGGTGATCTTAGTTTTTACAAAGGTTTCCCAAGATCTGATCGGGTGACCTAGTTCCTGAACCTATATGACTTAGTTTCAAATATGCATTAGGTCTTGTTGAGATATATATGTCGACAAATATCTTGTGGAATCAGTTAAAAGCGCCAAAAACATCGCAAAAATGTATGTCACAATATTATGTGACCGATGTGTAAGACTGTAAGAGAGTAACAAGGACTACAAGTAATTGAACATTTTTTTATTTACACTAAGACTTGAAATTACACTGTTTGGTTGAATATAGTCAGGATGAAAAAGATATCTGAAAGATAAATATGTTAAAAAGAAAATAACATGGAGCTATTATATGATTATCTAGAAACATGGCAACGCCACGAAACCAGGTTTTTAATTAGGAGTCATTGGAAACTAAATACAAGCAACTTATAATATAACTTTATGCATTGAAACAGTAAAATAGACGAAACAGACGACAAACAACACGTTGTCCCAAAAGCTCACTTTGTCACTCTGTGACAGGTGAGCTAAAAATCGATAAGCCCCCTGCCGGGGCCATTTTCATCCCAGGGGCATTATTTGAACAATCTTTGTAGAGAACCACGCTATGTTGATTTTAACAAGAACATTTTTTAAAATTTCCCTGTATAACTTTGTATAAAACTGAGAAGCCCCCTTTCCGGGCCCTTTGACCCTATGGTCATTATTTGAACAATCCTTGTAGAGGACCACATACCGATTATCAAAGTTGTAGGCCTTCTGGTTTTTGACAAGAAGATTTAAATATTTCTTTTAAATCGATAAACCCCTGACGGAGCCCTTTTTTATCCTATGTTTGATATTTGAGAAGAAGTCATTTGAATGAAAACGTTAACACACGAACGGACGGATTGACGTCGAACAACAGACAACACGGTGTCACAAAAGCTCTAGTGACTCTGTGTCAAGTGAGCTAAAAACAGAATAACTTTGAAATGTTGAAGATAGATATGAATAAGTAACAATTAACAAGTTTCAAAAGTTTTTTATCCATTTCAAGATTTATAGAATTCAATTTCTTTCAAAATCGCACCAACACTGTTATGGTCATATTGCGAATAGTTTCAGCTTAAATGCTTAAAGAATAGCTCAGGTGCGCCGGCCACCTGAATAGAACCATCCACGTTTTTATAGTAGTTTTATCAGGAGATAAAATTGGACATAGTTAGGTAAATAAAAATAATAATATATCAAAAAAATAAATAAATAAAAGAATAAAAATAAATAAATTGACTTAAAAACAACGCATTTCTTAGCTTACATTATCTTAAATAAAGAAAACTTAATTTACCTGCAGATGAATCTTTTCGTGGGGAAATCGACAAAGCATGAAATTGAAATGTTCCGTTTTGAATGTGCCATCTTTCCTTTAAAGATATCTCACTACTGTTGGACTTTGGGTCAAATGAGGATGTACTAGTGTTTGCTGGAGTACAAGGGCCAATGCCTGAATATAACAATTCCAAATAGTATTTCAGACATTTTATATACCATTCTTAGAATATTTCATATAATTTCTTATCTATATATTTTTTTATTCTTATATATACAGTAAACTTCACTTATAGCGAACACGGTTATAGCGAATTTCCGGTTATAGGGAACAATTTATTTTGGCCCGAATTTTGCCCTTCTTTATTTAATATAAAATATATGGTCATAGCAAACACGGTTATAAGGAATTATCGCTTATAAGGAACTCATTTCTTAGTCCCAATTTAGTTAAAAGTGCAGAAAATTACACTTTTATAACGAACTCCAAAATAATGGCTATCCGTAAATTGATCCCGCATTTTCAACTTTCGTTTTCATTGGCACGGATAAAAACTCGACCGAATTATTGTTTATTGTTGTACATCTATTAAAATGAATTTGTATAGTTTTCTATTTAGGGTTTTTTTTAGCATGAGCTCTTTTCACCAAGATAAAACGGTTATTTATTGTTTTCCTTCAATAGTTTTGCTTGAGTAAAATAATTATAATAATTTATAATCGGTTTTCAACATAATCACGTATACTTGCAAGCATGTTCCATTGCAAACTGCAAAGTACGCTTGATTTAAATGAAAAGAAATGTATATCTTACATTACTAAAAGTCACCCTTAAATTATGATAGAAGATATTCAATATAAAAGGAAGGAAAAATCGAAAATATTGTTTATTCTCAATCATGGAAAGAAAACGAAAAGAGTTTAGAAACAAAATATTATATTTTATGAGAAATTGAGATAGGGAGTAAAACTAAAACTGAAATAGCAATGATTTTCAAATTCAAAAAGTACGCTCTCGTGTATTGTGTCTAAAATAGAAACAATGAACTTTTTTTCTAAATCAAAGGCTCTTCAATATGGCGGACAATGGTAAACAATCAGTTCGTTATATGTAAATCTGTTCGCTATAAAAACTCCTGATACAAAGAACTAATTCGCTATATGCTTACAAGGAACTCCGGATATAAGGAACATATTTTGAATGTCCCAATGAGTTCGTTATTAGCGTAGTTTACTGTAGAATGACAACCAGATATTTAAGGTTTGGTGTTAGTTAAAAATGAAACAGACATTTTAACAATTAAAAGATATAAACGTTTCTAATTGTGTATTATTTTGAAAGTATACAAAATATAGCAACAGCAGCAGCAACAACAACAACATTACCTGAGAATATCATATTTAACATTAGGCATACCACTAATAAACTGATAAAGAAATCTTCAATGGCCACTTTCAACAAAGTGCACCATAGACACATTAAGCATAAATTAGTGAATACATTTAGATCGTAATACATTGTAGTTTTAGTACAAACATATCGTATGCAGGTTGCTTATGAGCTGCATCTTACATGGCAATTTATCATCTGTTTTGAATTATATTAATGCTGCATGCCCCCAAATGAGTAAAATATTTCTTGAGAATAAAGAACTTAGACTTTAAGAAAAGTAAACAGATTCAAGATAAAAGTAATAATTTCCACGCTATGTGCAATTTATGACTGATTTTGCAGTATTCTTTTTACCAAATTTCTACTGCGTTACTAATGAGTAAGGGCTATTTTACATATTTTGACTTCTTTTTGGTAATTTACATGGGTCGAAAGTGCTGATTGTAGTGTGAAAATAATTTTTCTTTGTTCACTTCTCAATATTTTACTTTTTACATTTTCGAAATTTTCATGAAAAACAACAACAACAAAAAAAACAACAACAACAAAAAAAAAACATGAATTTGGAGGCGTGTTGCTTTAATACTTGTAAAATTTCATTATGATATTTGACGAAAAAAATGGATGTATTAGAATAAATGAGCTGAAAATATACTGAAATTAAACATTGATAGGATACATACCAAGGACAATATCATCTATCCCAACTGCTTGAAATGAGCTAAAAAATCCAATCCCTCTGATAATTCTAAATATAACCTGATAAATAAAAAACGAAAATACTATATTGGTGTGGTATATGGTTTACACAGCTATTATGGAACTTGTAATATATTATACTGTGTTACGTGATCTAAGCTGTTCTCTCTTTCCTTATTTGTAATATTAACCAAAGTAAAAGTATATCCAGCTGTAAACTTAGAAAGTTTGCTCAACAAACCTACAACTATTGAATTTAATATTCAAAACTGTAATAAATGTTCAAATGAGAAAAGTGGATAATTTAAGAGAAGTTAACTTACACTATAACAATTATGTATTATAAACATTATATAAATATTGAAATAAGTAAAACATTTCACACATACGATATAATTTTTACATAACCCCGAAGTATCATTTTCATTTAAATATAAAAAGCAAGTTGTTCCTTTCTGAGGTTATTCCGATTATTATGTGAATTACGTATTAAGTATAATCTTTTATTCGAAAAAGTTCTTAGTCTACAATTATTCAGTACCTAATACATGTAATAGCAGAAATGTTGAAAATAATACTATTGTATGTTAAAGATATACTATGCCCAAATTTGATATTAGACAAAATTAATAAGATAGATAGATAGATATTTATTCAGGTTAAAACACACATACATGTATACATAAAACAAACACTTAAGCATTTTATATAAAACTGATGACACAATTGTAATAAAATATTTCGGAAGTTTGTCAAACATAAATATCACAGACGGCTCATTAAATAATAAAATATTATAACTAAAAACAAAATCTAAAACTCTTTCTTTCCTATGACTAGATATCAATTTACTAGTTTAATAAAAGGTGACGACGTAAGTGGAAACATGTATAGAGTAGTGTGCAATAACCTCGGATTGCCCATGAAAGCCCGAA